GTCAATTCACTGAAATATTACACTTCTAAATTGGGTTCTGAAATAACCTTTTTTATTCTTCCACGGCAATAAATGCGAAAATAAAGAAAAATTTTAATTGTTAACGCTCTTGTGGGGCCATAATGCCACAAAACGAGAAGTTGCTACTTTATTAGGTTGACAGCGTTTAGGTTTACGACTGTGAGAGAGAGTAGTAAGGGGCAGTAATCGAGACAAACGTAACAAATTTCTATTTTTGCCAAATTATGCAAAACTTGTGATTTGGTAAAAACTCTTGACTGAGTTTCCTCCGCCATTCGTAATAACAGACTGAAAAATTAAGGTCGYCGCRGCCGCGTTTCGCCTCATATCATCATTCAGTGTCGTAAAAAATGAAATATTTTTATTTTGTTTCATTTTGTACTGATTTCGTTTTCTTCGTGCCACATTTCTTAATTCGTGCTTTTGACTTTCGTCCCATCTAACTTTGGCGAATAACTCTTAATCTGTGGAGGAAGAATGTCGTTTCTCCCTATTGTTCTACTCCTGCAAAAAAAGAATAAATCGGTGTAGTTTCTCCGGAGCGCCTTCGATCCGCAATTTGTTTAAATTACACAAAGCCCCCTAACACCGACTTTAAGTGTTTCGATCGGCCATGTTGTTTGGTCAAACGCTTTTAGCACGAGTTCATTAAATGACCCTAATCCAACTCCGTACATTTTTTATGTCGCACCCTACACATGAATATAAATTGCGTGATTTTTACAGGACCATCAGCGAGAATTATGTAATTATAATAGCGAGCTTTTAGCCTGTTAATAAAATTAGAAACTTTTTGACATCCGAGTCGCAAGAGATTTATTTTTGAATTTTATGACTTATTTAAATGTATTTATGTAGTATTCGTAGTGTAAACTGTTTTGCAAGTTGCTGAAGAAAGCCCATTCCGTAACAAAATTAAGTCTATTTATAAAGTTCTCAGACCGTGAAGGCTTCCTATTTAGCAAATGAAAATATATAAATGAAATTGTTACAGATGGCTAATTCTACTTCATGAAAATTATCTCAGACATTCTTTAGTTTTCTAACGTGTTCAACGTAACGTGAGTTTGATGATTAAAAATTTAAGTCTGTTTTAAGCTACAGAAAGATAACTAAGCCYTAGGATCTTCTACAAAATTTGCTTCAATCACTAAAACATTAGCTTTACAATTTCCTGAAATGCTGCACGAATGGACAACGTCATGCAGTGCAAGAGTTCTAAAAACAACCACTTTTAATTAATGTGCAGTAGAATTTAATACCATCAGCCTAAAATTAAACAAAGCAAGTCCTATTATATTCCGATTCGAATTGCTTGGATTCAATTTAAAGACAATTTCTAATTAAACTATGTTGAAATAGACACAAAAATGTAAAAAAACGGCAAAGTGGTGTTTTCAATTATAAAAAGTAATGAATCAACTCGACTCTTCCTTTGGGCGTTCTTGAGTTAAATTAAACATCCATCGAATGTGAATTTCGTGTCGGAAGCAATAAAACTGATTATTCACCACCAGGTTACACATTTATTAGATTACAAATTACACATACCGTAAACACGTGGTTTGGTGGTATATATGGGACTAAAGAAATAACGAATAGGATTATGAGATTGACGACGTATCCCAAGAGTCGAGTTGGAGAACTTTAGAGATTACTAGCGGGAAGCTATAAGCAAAGATGATTTAKATTTATTTTTTGCTTTCGTTTCAAAGATTTATTTTAGACACAAATATTGTAAAAGGCCGTTTTTGCATAAAGATAAACAACACTTAAAATGCGAGCTTTGCTAAATCCACGGTTCATACATCACGAATGTCTATTGGTTACCATCACCGTGATGTATGAGGTAATGCAACATCACAACTAGAATTTAAATSGAGTATTTGAAAACCGGAACGGTGTGAATTTTCTAAAATTCAATATGACGTTTCCATTAAAATGTCGATAACATCTATTTGTACGGTTTGTTCATAATTAAACAAGATGAGAGCAAAATTTCTATTATTTCCTTCAAAGCGTTACAATGGTAACGTTTCTATTTAACCGGAACTAAAACGCTTGATAATAAAGTCATTTTCGATAAACTTTAACTCATAAAGTTATTTAGCCTGTTTCCTCTATTTTCACTTCACGTATCGGTTTCATAAATTGGTTTATTGCAAGAGCAGAGCACTGAGTAAGTAACACATAAAGTCAACTTAAATTGCAACAAAATACGTTAGTCCTTTTTGTAAATTACATAAATATGCCGGATCAAAGAGTTTTGTTACATTTTTGCTTAACAGCAGGACAATTATTTCTATCAGAAAGTTTCCTGCTAGGCAACCCATTTTACACGATGGAGAGTATGCTGCAGCTCGGCCTGCAAAACCTGGATTTTTATTTTATTGGTAATTGTTTTGTAACAATATACATTTGAAAAAAATTGATACATGTRTCGATGCTTAGGTAAACTATTTGGACTGGAGGATCAACCATTTGCGGTTTTATTAATGGACTATTGATGTTCTGTAATGTGCCAGCTAATGTGTTATCTGGTAGTYCGTGAAGCATAATGACAGAATTTAATGAGGTGTAGAATTACATCTGAATAATGTTATGAAAAATTTGGATTAGTACCTACAACGTGGCTCGTTTATTAATCTGAGCTTATTTTTGTACGGCACTAATTTTGAAAAAAATTGATTTGGTAAACTCCTTGGCTCAAACTCTAAACAGAATCGTAGCAACACAAAAACTAACCATCACTAATCGAAAGAACGTAAAGTGGCTGGATTTTATGTAGAAAGCAGCTCTTGCCATTCGCCCACAAGCACATAAAATTAACACTGTTTTAGATAAAACCACGTAATTGAATTTATCCTGTTTGCCAAGCTTTAAACACAAACATAAATTAGAGCTTTCTGTCAATAAATTTCTAGATAAAGTAAAATCTGCGGTTTACTCTTTTTGCGTCCCTTGTGGTTAGCAAACGGTTGTACAAAAATTAAAGATTATAGAGATCGAAAAACTCACAATATTTATGTTGTGTTGAGCCTCTAGAGACTTTAGTCTTAATTGGAAGCCTTCATCCCAGTTTCCAAAACAATCAAATCGCAGCAAGATATCTCGCGATAGCTCGCTAGTATTCTGAAATATCGAAAGCAAAGTTACGCCCCCTTCGGATACAAACAGAACCAAAGTAGCTGATATTATTCTGTTTTCGTAAAAATTTGTAATTTGGAGACGTCATCGACTTCATCTCTGTAACAGCTGAGGATAATGTAGCTTCTGTAAAGTTCTTTATGAAAAACTTTTAACCCTTGTTGACTTTCCAAAACTGTAGAGTCTAACGGCAATCACATTTTAATATCGCGTCACCTCTCTTAAGAATTTTAAAAAGGTATTTAAATACTATAAGGATTGAAAGTTTTAGTTCTCAAAAACCGTGAATCGTAATTGAAGCGAGAGTCATGGATTTTTTATAACACTGCGGGCAAAATGTAAACAAGGAAGATATAAAATACGAAGAGCATCTACTAACACCAAATACGCGGAAAAATAGAAAGCATAACCGTATTTCAGCGTTCTTTTCATTTCAGAAACAAGAGTGTTTTGGTTTCAGACTACTGAAATGTTGAAAATATTCAGTTTATTTACCGAGAAACGTATCAAGTTTCATGAGATTTAATTTATTTTTATTTTGTGAAAATAATATTTTCTCGTATGCGACACTGAGTATTTTTTTTGACTGAATCTTTATACTTACTCGTACATGTTAAGCTTATTGTAAAAAGATTCATTCTAATTTTTTTACAGCATTTTTTCGAAAGCATATTTGGCCGTTTCAAAATCATGACCCAAATTACAATTTAAGGTTTTTAATAAAATTTAATGGTTTGATTTTTTTAGTTCTCATTCGCAATATCTCTTCGAGGATCCTGACGTTGACAGATTTCAGCGTAAAAGTGACTTTAATATTTATGAACTCTTCATTTGACGTCAACAAACACATTATCGCTATTCCAGACTCAAAACCCCCTATCAAAGACAGTTGAATAAAAAATAAATTTAAACCGATAGTGAGTTTGCAAAGTTTACATGCACGAACTATTTTTGAAATTATTTGGCCACTTGAAATATTTATCCTTCCGTGTTAATATCAAAGCTTTGAAACTTTAGACATCAACATACGCGTGTAAATATTTACGCTRCAATCTTTTGATAATTTTATGTACTTAAAGGAAATTTCCTATTTCAACCAAAAACCCTTTTACAAGTTTAAATTTAATTAAATGAATTTTGACCTAGAGTAATATAATTAATTTTGTAAGCAGAACGAGTAAGCTTAGACTTGAAAATGCATTACAGCTAATCGTTGGGAATTGTTGAAGTGTTGGTGGAGTACTTTAGTGTCAACAAAGTTTTATTTAAGAGGAAAACTTTGGGATACTTTCGCTTTATKTTATTAGTAATAATCTGGAGTTAAACACATTACAACCAAGTAAACAAGTTTTCAACTTTTTTGAATATTAATGGTAAAAAAATTGCGACTTTTGTAGGAAAAAGCTGCAGTGGATTTTAACTACTTCTGCAGTTTTAGAAATTGGATGACAATGTGAAACACTTTGTCGTTCCAACTGAATGCTTCAGCAATTTCGCTCGTAATTGAATTCGTATTATTCAACTCATGTATAGAAAGGCTTTGGAGCAAGTCTATTGGCGCACAACATCGACAAAAAAATATTTGAAACGTTTCTTACAAGAAGATTGGTGTAATTTTCTCTAATCCCCGGAGTGACTTACAAAATATTTTAAACCACTTCACTTATCTAGTCTAGATTCGTTGAAATATAGATCCGGGAAAGTGCATATTTTTTAATAAAATAACAGAGATGATATAACTCCCAATTTTTTTTTAAGATTTATTTCCGGGAAACGTCTGGAATTCACAGAACGTGTTTTTGTTATTGTTGTTAAGTTGTTCAATCTTTCAGATCAAAACTGTTGAATCTACTCGAAAGAGCCGACTTCCAGAARAGGAGGTGACGCAGAGTTGAGACAGTGGCGGCACAGAAGGGTGAGAACACGGGGTGGATAGCGGAATGCACGCTAATGTGCATACAGACCGAAACGAATGGCGACTGCCCCCGGATGAGACTTTGCAGGTCGCTGATCCAAAGGCCAAAAAGGCCGAGGTAGGTGACGAAGAGGTCAGTACTCCACGAGGAAAACCACTGCACTGTATGTATTTTGGCCCAAAATGAGCCATCAACCGATCAATACTACCCAAATTATTACGTTTTACCTGAGAAAAATCCAGGGCCAAAATTTGGCATTCAAGGCTTTTTATGAGGAACATCAGACTTGCAGAAATATGAAAATCGCCATAAATTATTCACGGAATGTCGCGATACCTCCGGCGAAAATACATAGAAGAGCATCTGTTGATAAGAGCCGTACTTATCTTTCTATTTTCTTATTGGGTATTTGAAAGGTTGATGTCCYATGATTTCAATATAGTGCATCCGGAATGAATTAGTGGTATGTAATTACGGAATGAGTACTGACTTAGCATTTTAGTATTTAAGTTTAGGTACAAAAGTAATTTTTAAGAAACCACATTTTGTCCACTGTGATTTAAAAGTGTGCTTTCTTCAAATTAGTCTTACAAACTTTTAAAATTAATTTTCCAGCAATTTAGCTTTTTGGACGTTCTTGCATTTAATTAACTATTTAACAAACTGCACTTGCACTTGGTGAGGAAATTTGCACTTTTCACGATTCTATTGTAGCATAGTCGATTCTTGCATCGAGTAGTTACAAAATTACTCTGTTATTCAATAGCGAACCCAATTAATAATTTTAAAACTAGTCAGGAAATTCCGGTATTGGACAGCCCGAGTTTATTATACAGACCGGAAAAGCAGTCTTATTTAAAATACATGCAACCATGATTTAACATACCTAGTTTTTCTAGGGATAAATAAATAGCAGAAAACAGCAAGCTTTTGCATTGTTGTAAACAGAATCAAAATTTAGTGAAACTTTTAACTTTCATTTYACAATAATGTATCGATCTTATTTAAATTCTATGTAGTTTAAGTTTGTTGTGCAATTTCCTTGTGTAATAAGAAGCAAATTTTACCTCATACTCACTAACAGTGATTACTAGGTTGCACTGATTACCCATAGCTGATACCACCATCTAATTAGAATAAATCGAAAGCGATAACAAAATCCGATATCCGGTACTGAGCAAGGAGTGAAACTCATTTTTAAAACAAAACCATTTTTTGTTTCACATAATTTTTAATTGAAGATTTGACAATTAAAAAAATATATTTGTTATAAAAATTACATGGGCCCGCTATATGGATGCAGCATTAATATCTACAGTCTCTCCCATTTAAAAGTTTTTCAGATTCATTTTGTTTTATAATCAATGCAAAATGAAATTAAATAAACAAACAAACAAATTTTGAGAATGTTTTTTCTCAAAATCTAAAAATAGCCAGGAAAAATATTAGGTTCATACAAAATTTATTAAACTCGTCACTACTTGTATGAAATAAGTCAAGGTTTCAAAATAAACGTTATCGATCATGAACAATAWTTTTTCTTGAAAATAAGAGGTCAAATCGAGGATCAAATCTTCTTTAGTTACTTTAAATTAATTCTACAGCAAATGATGTTAATTTCTTAACTTAAGTAGTTTGATTTCAATTCCAATTGACCCAAAATTGTCTGAAAAACTTTTATTTGAGACAGGCATCGTTTTATTTCGAGTTTTTGAATTGGTAGATAGTTGCAAGTAGTCACTTTTTCTAATTCGGAATGTTGCAACAAATTTTGTAGCTAAAAGTAGAACTACTAGAAAAAAATTACAACACAAATTATACTTCGCTTAATCTGAATAAAACCATAACACAAACGCTTGAATACAACAGGAAATAGTAAATTAATTTAGATTTTACACATGTTCCGTCACGATAATCATCATTTTTACATTTTGCTAACAAAATGCTTGAAATTTCGCCACATTCACGCCACCTTATCACCAAACTGAGATCTTCCAAACTAATCTGTTTTCCCGAAACTATTACACGAACAAATGTGCAAAATATCACGCTCAATTATGAGCTAATTGAAAGTTCATCGAGTCGATCGGTTCCGAAAATACCTCAAGTAGCCCAACGTCTTGTGTATACAAATCAGCGGTTGAACAAGCTGGGAATGAACAGATCTCATGTTAGTATTTCTTGAATCGTCAAACGGCAGCATCAGTATGGACGGTGCACACTTGTCTGTGGAAAAAAGCCGCACTCGAGGCAACAGTGACAGTGAAATGTTAGAGCTATTAAACACCGGTGTTGAAGAAAACGCCGGAAAAACTGATAAAGGACTCGGCTCAAGACGCAGCAGTCGCAGAAAAATTAGTTGCAGACAATGTGGGACACCTCACGAGGGAGTGTGTGAAGTATATATCTTTTATTAAACCGGAAAGCATACGAGAATTAAGCGCGTAATTTATACAACAGCTCTACACCGAAAATTCACACATTTGTTCACGTCACAAAGCTTAACTTTACGCTTAACACCCTCTTTTAGTCAGTAGACTAGTTTGTTACAATTACTATGATGAATTTTGCTAGCGTGTGATGTTTCAACGTTTATGTTTAGGAGCTAGCATTACATGAAGATGAGGGACACAATTGGTGGTCGATTATTTTTTCGTTACTGGTTATTGGACTCGTTATCTCCGGAATTGTAGCTGCTATTTTTCTTGTGGGGTATGTTGATGAACTTCTCTACTGGCATGGGACGAGAATGCAATTTGATGAGTTCTTGCAGGTAAGGTCAGGTTTTAGGTATTTATTGTTTTACACATGTGGTTTAAAATAACTCAAGACTCACAGGGGTTCTTTCAATAATAAACAAAGGTTTAATGGGAGTTTATAACCGCAATTAATGTAACACAAAAAAACTTATTTTCTTCAAGTTGTAAAATTATTCAGAGATAAAAAAACGACTACGTTTCAACAAATGTAGACGGATGGGTCTAATCACCGGTAATTAAATTACGCATTTACGCAAAATAGATTGTAAAAAACTATGATTTCCAAATTTAAAGTCATTAACTGATTAAAAAATCATCAAAGTCTCTTTATGCAAGCGAAGAAATTAATCTGTTTAACCGTCAGCTTAACTATTCGGACGTTATACATAGTTTTCTGTATTTCATACAGAAAATCCAAGTCTTTCAAGATTAAAACATTTTAGAAAAGTTTAAAAGTTATGAACCAATATGTTTAAGCATGTTTTCTAAATTCGAAAAAATGAAAACAAAAAATTACACAAAAATTAGAAAAGGTTTTGAAAATTCCACACAAGATGCTGACTAAAAAACTCAGTGTATTTATTATTGGACTTTTAAATTTAATTTAAAAAAATTATTAATTAAGTTTTTATTTCTCGTTTAATTTTTTATATTTTAACCAAGTTAGTTATTAGTTTCTTCCAACTTAATACAACCTAAAGTTTACCATAAAAGTGATTGTTTATTTTTATTTTGTTTGTTACGAGTATGTTGCAACTAATTTAAATTCATTGATTTGTGTAAGTAAACAATTTTTTATTTCTAACTATATTCACCAATAATCTCAACTTTCGTGTGTGGGAGTTGTATTGAACCGTGCCATCCATTTTGGTTAGTGAGATGACAATGTGGAGACTATTTTGTACTCAGGAATTATTATGATTGAAAGTGTGTCATAATAAAGTGTAACAAATGCCTAATCAAAAAATTCATACAAGTAAAAAGGTGTGGGTGAAAATTAACATTTAATTAGCGGTTTTGGTTATTATTATTATCAATGATTAAAATTAGTCCTTTCAATAGAAAATTAATAAATTAATTTATGGGAATTCCTGACAGATGAAGACAAATAGCGTATTGCATTATTTATATGTATAATTAAAATTTAATTGTAGTTAAATACACTTTAATTAGATTCGCAGTGGCTGAAATACATTGAAATAATGTGCAATTAAATTTCTAACGATTTGGCATACAATTTTTTTGAAACACTTTAATTAAAACTGCGTTGAACAAAATCAAAAACTTTCATGCCGATTAGACAGCGTTAGCCATTGCAATAATTCTTTTAACCGACTTTAACCGCAAAAGTTGTAGTATCAAGCCCAGACCTGGCTACGGAAAGTTTCCTTGCAAACTGCGACGGTTTCATTCAGTTCTCTTCCAGTGTTTGATTTATCTTTTAAACTTTGTAGTTGAATTTTGGCAATCGGGATCCCGCTATTAGAGTTATTGTCTTCAAGCAAATTCTAAATTTTAATGAAATTATTTGAGAATTTCCCACTGGTCACAGTTCTGTAGGAATTTATCCGCCCGACTTGTCTTTAATAGTCTTTATGGGCGCTTAATATCGTCGTAGACGAGTGTTCCTTGTCCTTATTTCCTGTTGGTTTCAATTACATTTCTCACAATTTCAGGGTGAGCTGACTCCCAAACGATTACCTTCTTCCTGGATTTCGCACTCTCATTTCGTCTACCAAACGGACGACGGAAGTCTGGCCATACTCGACACTAGTCATAATTTTACTGTTTCGATTCTAGTTACTAACCACACTTTGGTAAGCTATGTAAAGGAAAAGAGAAACTTCCTATAAGGAAAATTTGCAGAGACAACTTCTCGTCAAAGGATACCAGTGCTCAAAGGACCTTAAATATGTGCTCTTCCAACACGACGTAAAATCAGTAGGTATTCTATTTTTAATCTGCTTGTTTGTAACTGGATTAAGACTTAAAACAACAAACAGAACAACTCGATAAAGTTGATTTATTTCGCGAAATTACTCGGATAAACATGGTGTTTAATGAATCATTGGAACGCATGCTTGAAATTCATTTTAGCCGATTTGCTGCAAATTTTAACTACCATAAAACATTAATTCCACTCATAATTTTCAAGTTTACAAAATTATYGTAAGTTGGTTGAAAACATGCAAACTCTGCGTGCYTCGTTCTTTATTGCAGGAAACACCTAGTAGTGTATATTCCTGCTCATTGTAAAAAAAAATCTTTACGACTTTGAGTAACCTCCGTCAAACCGTAATCAGAGCCATAAATTTTAAAACCAAATGTGTTTGGCTAAATTTTTAACTCTGTGCGTGCACCGAGGACTAAGTATTTTAAGCACATAGGTGCAAGAGGTGWGCAGACGGAGAGATGTTATTAAGATAGAGCAAAGGTTATACAATTTCAGTATTCAGATCAGATTCGGAAAGTTATAGTCGCTTCCACCCTCCGAATTAACAGCTGGCAGTCACGCAAGAAGCCACATTTTTTAAAAACTGTCATGACCCAGAAAAAATTTAATTAWACCGACGACCATAAAAGGCGGAATTTAACTCGAATCCGGAAAATCAGACTCGTTTCACTTGTCAAATCGTTAAGGTTAACATGGTCAATTAAATTTAGGACTTTCAAGTGAACTGAGAGGTAATCTGCTGCGGTTCGGAGTACTCCCTGCTGACTGATAGGGGAGACAAGTCGGCGCTTAACAAAATTTGGCACAGTGCCGCAGAACTCTCCTGCAATGGCTGCAGGACCGTCACCGGAGCGCAATTGATCAGCGGTCGTTTGCCAGCAGGATATATCCTTTTATGTCGTAATTTAGCGGTCATTTAAAAAGTTTCATCTTTATGTTAACAGGAAATTAGTCTAACTAAAAGCACAACTGCAATTAATATACTTTTTTGGTTTCAGGTATTCAGACAATCCTTCACGGCGACATACACCATTTATGACGTCAATAAAGAGTAAGTACTGACAAGTTTAGTGTGTAATTTTCAAGTTTTGGGACAAATAACTGAATTCTTATGTAAATTCGATGACCTTCAAACTTTCACGCTTTCAATTAATCTATTTCAGTCTCGAGAGAAGGACACTTCTTGAACTGTTTCTAAATCAATTAGACCGTTGTTAGTTCCTACGAATAATAAATTTTAGTTCATGTTCGAGCTTAAGCCGACTTAAAACTTGGGTTAAAATATTGCAGGGTAGTCGACAGGTAATACTTATCTCTTTAATTAACGACTGAGGAAAATCGCGTGCATTCGAAAATGCAGCAAGGTTTCCCGCACCATTGCTTTTGCCACAATTTCAACATTAATGCATTTTACTTAAATTGTGTCATCATAAAACTTGTTAAGATTTTCTGAAAACATAAAACGGCAACAGCACATTAAAAATGGGTTAATTAAATTTTATTGAGATTAACATAATAAATAAATTATTTATACATGTATTTTTAGTGAATGCGTTAGATATATTTAATTAAATTATTTAATTAATATCTGCACGGTAATAATTAAATAATAGTTTTTTTCTCAAAATAACATAAGTATCCAAAAATAGATTTAATCCCGGTAACATTACGGAATTGATATTTACATTTTCGTTGTAATTTAATAATAAATAACTGTTCGAACGAAGATATGATTTGATTAGATCCATATGCAATAACAACAATTTTTAATATACATATTTTGCAGTATTTTTAAACGTAACAAACATAACAAAGCATTTATATTATTGTTTTACCTCTAATTTCCATAAACATTGTAGGAAAGTAGATTASTATTCAATTTTGATGTTAAAATAGTAATATCGACCGTTACGTTGTTGCTTCCATTTGAGAATTATCTCCACATTAAAACTAAAATCTAATTATCTACGCTCGTATGAAGTGATACGTTCTACGTTGTATCGGTAACGAAATGAAATTTAAGCGAAAATAATTTTCAAWTACAAATTTACAACACACCAAAGTGGGCATATAAAGTAATTTTCTATGGTTTTTCATAGAAGAGGATCATTATCCATCAATGTATTTCTTTCATTGTGTTTTTTTCTTTCAAGTCTATTCGGTCTTTGAAAAGCACCAGCTGCCCGAGATAATGCTATAAGAAGAAATATTGGCTTTAGTAGATTATTTTTTAGCTAATCAATTCGCTTGCACACTCTTCCAAGGGTTTTTTTCGGTTTACCTTCACGGATATATTAATTTGAAATTTGTTGCTTATTTTGTGGCATATTTTGCATTTGAATTGATTTCTGTTTCGCAGTCATCAAATTCCACTTCGTCTCGAACTGTCGTCGAAGGCTGAGCCCGAAACGTTCCAATACGTTAGCTGGTTGGGCGACACAACTTCGCTCTTAATGGTGTATAATAACGACATATATTTCCGGCAGTCTCCCATGGACGAAACCGAGATCAGACTGACGTTTTCGGGACGTCCCGAGGTGATCTATAATGGAATTCCAGATTGGCTCTACCAAGGTATAAACCGATGGGCTAATTAGCGACGAGACTGACGCCTCATTTCCAGAGGACGTGCTCAAGAGCCCGCAAGCAATGTGGAGCTCGCACGATGGCACTCACCTGTTGTATGCAACGTTCAACGACAGCGAAGTAGGAATATTAAATTTCCCGTGGTTTCGAACGGAAGCTGGCTTAGGGGCCGCCAACGCCGCGTCGTCCTTCCCATCCTCGAAAAGCGTTCGATTTCCGAGGGTACGATGAATAGCATTTATGACAGGTCTTATWGAGCAAAATTTCAGCCCGGGGCGGACAACCCCACAGTGCAATTGTGGGTCATGGATATATCGAACCTCACCGACATCCAGAGCCATTTAGTAAAACCCCCGCAAGCGCTCGTCGGCCAGTAAGTACCCGACTTTTCCGGAGTCGGAATCCGGAGCTCACAATTTGCGTTGTGTTACAGATTTCTTTCGTGWCTAATTGTTAGGTTTCTTGGGGCGTGACACGTAATTAAACCATTTCTCTTGAAATTTCTAGAGTTAGACCGTCTATTTCARCAAATTTTAGATTAGCATAGTTGGATTTAAATATCCAAAATTTAGATAGTAAWTAGCCAACAGTTTAGGGAATGTCAGTCAAGCGACCACCGGTTGGACATATGTGTAAATGCTTTAATCCAGTGATTTGCAGGGATTACTATTTGACATCGGCCGGCTGGATTGGACAGAAAAACACGCAAGTGTCGGTGGTGTGGATGAACCGCGCACAAAACCTCAGCATCATTTCAGCCTGTCTAGCGCCTAACTGGACATGTGTAGAGGTCAGCACAATCCACCCCTAGATAATTTATTTTCTAATACGATGCTTTACCGCGAAAAAACGCCCGGAAAATCGACCGCGATTGCCGGATTTCGTTATATATCTTGTCCGGTAGAAGTAGAACAAAATTTTAATATTACAAATGTAATTCAAAAAAAGCAATATCGTATTTCATTGTTGAAACAAAGATATGGAAATATATTTTTTCAAACTGTTACCCTTTATATTTCTTTATTACGCGCTCTATTACTGTTTCTCCAGTTTATTGATAGTTTTCTCTTCTTTTCTTTTGTTTTCATCATTCTTGGGGTCATATCTTTGAAAAATAACTAAATAAATTCGTATCGTATTTGAATCAAAAGACAAACAACACTAACTCTCCTAACAACTATCACTTAAAATATATTTGTTTTATATATTTTATTTATTTATGATTAACTTTAAGTTCTTTATTTTCCTATCTGTTGTTATTTCTTAACATCTTAAGTGATTATTTAACTGCTTGCAAGGATATCTCCATTAAATCAACAATCCTAAACAGCACGTTCATTTCCCTCAATRAATCCTTCAGTTATGTTATTATCCGTTCCTTCCTACCAACACATTAACTACATAATGCATAATGGTACACTAAGAAGGGTTTTCCACTACTCTGTGTCCAATATTTCACACATATTTAAATTATTTTAACTGTAATTCTGTCTCTGTCAAAACGCTATTCTTACCTTTATTTTACTTTATTCTTTACCCCACAACACCTTTAGTCGATAAATGTAAATTACCACAATTATTACGAGACACATACACCCAATCCTAGCTAGCCAATAAAGTCATGACATAAAACATGCAATTTACACAGTAACAAAATTAATTTTTTGATGTTATAATTTCTTTCATTCTGCGATTACTTAAAATTTTCGGCGGTCATATTGTCACTAAAGTAGGTATAATTTCAAGCTTTCAAAAGCCCTTTTTAATATCTGCAGATTCACGCTGAACGCGCAGCTGAGAGAGCTTGGCTCGACATTCAGGAGCATCCGATATTTTCATCGGATGGAGACAGTTTCCTGATGCTTGCTGCTGTCCAGGAGGGGAGTAGGGAAGCTTACACGCATATTAAGCACGTGACTGTCACTCAACAGCACATCGCTGTCCTCAGCCACGGTCGACACGAGGTTGATCGAATCTTAAGTTGGGATAATGTTAGCCATCTCATGTAAGTCAGCGATAAAATGGTGGATGCGCCGGGCTATTTTCCAAATTTTGCTTTTTGGTAGCTATTACTTGGCGACTGAGGAGAGAAAGGCAGGTCAAAGGCATCTATACGTAGTACGTGACCCGTCTACAGACGACCCCCGACGGCTTGAATCCCACTGCATAACTTGCGAGATCGGGGACGTCCTCTGGAGCAGCCGTTATCTTTACGGCAACTGTACGCACTTCAACGCTTTGGTGAGTCCGTTTTCGGCAAACTTGGCAGTTTTTATTGAATCGGTCGCAGATAAGCCCTCGTTCGGAATCATCGAATTCGTCATTTTACGTCCTTCAGTGCGAAGGACCCGGTCTTCCATTAGCAGGCATGCATAATGCGACTTCGCACAAGTTATTAAAGATTCTTTACGATACGAGGCTACAGAAAATGGGAATGCTCGAAAGGTTAGCGTTGCCCAAGCAAAAGTCTTTTGAGGTGCCTTTGCCCCATGGTAGTAGGGCTCAAGTTCAACTACTTCTACCTCCCAGTTGGAGGGAGGAATTGCGAGATGCTGCCTACCCTGTCCTTGTTGAAGTGTAAGTATCGACGACTTTTTGCAAACACTGCACACGCAACGCTTATAGACACGAGGGACACAAAACGATCCCAATGCAAGAAAAAAGAGAAACAACGATTAAATGTTTAGCAAAGTTTAGAGTATTTAAAAAATATATTTCGTTTTCTGTATGTATTTATTTAATCAAAAAACATATTATACAGGCTGTCCCAATGGTCCGAAAAAGCTCTATAACTTGTTTATTTTAAGAGATATTGACTTTTTATTTTTTTTAGATTATAGTTGCATTTCTGCTGCACATTTTAAAAATATTGCGGTTTTTATACAAGGTGTCCCAATATTAAAAAAA